GTTTCAGGCAATACTACCACCTATTACATCCGCCCCTTCGTACACAGGGAGCCAACCGATTCCAAGTATGACATTACCAAAAGTAGATATCTTTTTCTGTATCTCACTTCTCACTCTACGTCAATCACTATGCAACACAACTCTATGACTGATCAATAGAAGAAGAGTACTAGTGGACTTTATTGGACAATCTAACGCCACTTTTTCCCAATGGTGAAGTAATTCCATTTGAAACGAAAGTAAAATATCTTGGCATTGTCCTTGATAAAAAACTCACCTGGAACGCTCACCTGGAAAAAGTTTTACACAAAGCCAGAGTTCTTATTGACATGTCGAAGCTCTCTGCTTCACAGAGACAGGCTTGTCTGGCCATCAGTGGTGCCATCAGTACCACACCGTCATAGCCCGTGGATATCCTTCTAGATCTACCTCTTTTCCACATTTCACTGGAGACAGAGGTTAGATGGACTTCATTGCCAATGGCACAAATCAGTTTAATGCAGAGTGTAACATACTGCGGGTTGACACTGGAAGTCATAGCATTCTGGAAATGACTTCTGACTTTATGCCTCCAACGAAAGGACTGAATCTCCGGGATATGGAAATATTAAGAGCAGATAGTTGTTGGTTCACAGATGGATCAAGAACACCTTCCGGTCGCAGAGAAATCAACCTGTCTAGGAACCTATGCGACTGTATTTCAAGCGAAAATTTACGCTATTAAATTGTGTGCGGAGAGATTGGAAGAATCCAACCTCATACACAAGTCAATGAAAATATTTTCAGACAATCAAGCGCCGTTGGAAGCTCTTGGCTCTCGCCGAGCAACGTGTAAATTGGTAGCAAATTGACAAAAACTGCTCTCCTCGATAGAAAGACTTAACAGATTGTCTCTGGTCTGGATTTTTGGCCTTGCTGACCATAATGGCAATGAGGCTGCTGACTCCCTTGCAAAAGAGGGTGCTGCAAGCAGCTTCATCGGACCAGAACCTGGCATTGGCATCGCTTTAGGCTTTGCCAAACAAATATTGAACACCTGGATGGCAAGAAGATTTATGGACTTCTGGCAGAGTATGTCGCCTCTGTTCAGAAAATGATGAAACAGCAGAGCATATACTTTGTGCCTGACCCTCTGGGGACAGAATCAGGTTTTTTAGAGTACGGCAGAGCCGTACTCTTACCATCTGACCTGAAACACCACTCAACAACTAATCGGCGTCGTTAAGAATCTTCGTTAAGAATATTCGTTAAGAAGCTGGGTTTATTTGGCACAGTGTGAACTTATACCACCATTTGAGAGGGTGCTCAGTCCAATAGTGATTTTAAACTCTTCATAAAGAAACAATTTCATTTATTTTTACCTGTAAAAGTGTTCGCAGCAGGCAATTCAAAATAAAGTACTTCGAAATCGGAGAAAAGATGCAAATTTTGGGGAGGTGTCCACCTTTCATGTGGGTCACACTGTATATTACTCGTTATCAAATGACTACGTCTTCCAGCCTAACTATCATTTAATTGAAAAGTCCCAAAATGTAATTAACAAAAAGTTGCACAATGGCTGCTTCATATATCACACGTCTTGAAGCGACACTTTGTAGAAAAAAAAATCTAAATAGATATGTTCCATATTCTCAAAAGTGCTCCACTGCGATTCTGTAATTGTATATGCCTATTCGATTCACTTCAAGATTATTGAAAATTCATGTCTACGAGTATGCTTTTCTTGATCCAATTTTTCAAACTTGGTATGATCATGCTAAACTGATTATCAGTTAATTGAATAATAGATACTTGATGGAAATCCATATCAAAACTAATTAATACAGTTCATTGTATGATTTTTACTATAAATGGTTTTACAAAAACCGCGACACGTGTTTCGCTTTACAATAGCTTTCTCAAGCACCCCTTAGTTAGGGAAGCCACAGATTATGCTGTAGACGACCCCTTCCGATATAGAAGGCCCCGACACTCTGTCGAATGAGGCCCTCATGTCCCCCGTTAAAGGATGAATAACTTTTTCATCCATCCCACCCCAGCCAGGTAGGGGTATCCCGTGAAGGGCGGCACTGATGTCTAAGGACTTCATGCCGTCATCTATCAGTTGTGTACCCATTGGTCCCTCTCAAGGCCAATAGTCAGCCAAAAGGGTAGGGGAGCTGGTCTCCAAACCTGGATGAAATCAGGATGACTCGTCAGCTTTCTCAAGCGTATCATTTTTACGCTTGAGAGAGGTATTGTATAACGAAACACGTGTCGCGGCTTTTGTAAAACCCTTTATAGTGAAAATCATACAATAAACAGTATTAATTAGTTTTGATTATTAGTTTGTACATGTAGACTGGTCGTTAGACATAACAAAATATTTTACTTACTACATCAAATCAAAAATGGAAGGCTCCGGATTGCATTTTACGTGTACTTATTTATCGCCAACCGGAATTTTAACAAATGAAAAGTCCAGTGAAAAAACGAAGAAGTTCCATATTTGGCTGTATTAGAATTTCAGTGACATCTGTTGGCTAGTGACATGAAGTATTAACACACTCATGGAAAAACAGTTAGGTTCTACTAGAAATCAATATGGAAAATGAGTTGTAAAGTAATCATGATATTGAATATTCTTTAAGAATTATAAATTACTTCAATAGAAAGAAACTAATAATTCATTGATGGTACAGTTCCGCAATCATTCACAGCTGTTTGTATGTATCATAATCACCTGACACTCGTGTACCTACACTATCTGTAGTTATTGAAGTTCTGATAATATGTCGAAAGTCAATTAGAAATTAACCTTTTCATTAATAAGCCTTGATCCCAAGGCACAAGTGGACCTCATGCAGAACCAATTTGCTGCTGGTGTCATTCATAAGGTGATGAATGAGTCGGAGCTATTTATATTTCTCCAGTAAAATATGGAGTTCCTTGCTTCGATTGAATATAGTGATATCTTAAAAATATACGATTTATGTTCTATAACAACACGTAATAAGTTTCGAAGTCATAAATTCTTTCAATTTAAATTTTTTGTAGAACTCCAAATGGGGATTTTTCAGAGCAGGATATTTTTTCGGCCCAAAATATGTTTAGGTTTCTACTTTGTTTATTAATATAATGGTATAGGTGTCATTATTATATTTCAAATGTACACCCCACTTGATTCTTATCAAGAAAAGGGATGTTGAAGTATGAATGAAATAATTTTTATTTGAATTAATTGTTCAGAAATCTTTCCACCGATTATGATAAACTTGGTATGTTTGATTGGAGTTGTAACTGGTTCAATTTAATACAATTTGCATCGGAACGAGGGTTATTGTCTTCATCTTTTGTAAGTTTGATATCATCATCAGCTTGAAGAATCAAAAATTCAACTTTCTGGAGTATTCTTTTTGTATGGTATTCGGTTTTCTATATAAAAATTTGTTTCTTTTAATGTCCATGAGTCATAAAACAAAACTTTGAAAGTGACTTCAATTTACTCAGAAAGAAAGGAATAAATTATGTAATCCTACTGTTAAGGCAAAGACAAATTTCTATCGGAATGAAAAGGAAAAAATGAGTAAGAAACAGAAGAAATAAGATGTCAGGAAAATGAAGAACCACTCAAACTGAGTTATAACAGATACAACAGAATCAAGTGAAGCTTTCAATGATTGTAGGCCCAAAACGTGTTAATAAAATAAAGTATACACACATATACTCGCCAGTTGCAACCTATTGAATTCACAATTTTTAGAATCCTTCGATGAAAATGAAGTAAAATGATTCATTCTAGCTGAAAAAACAGAGCCCGGATATAAACAAAATAACTGCTGAGGTTCAGAAACAGCGCTTTTGACCACATGTCTGAACCACTTATTTTGATAATAAATACATCACTCGATTTTAGCATCTACCCCTTATTAATGAAAATGGGAATTTTTGACCCATTCATAAATCACCAGCCAAATCTTCCAAATGAAGGCCACTATATATAGCTCATCTCACAAATCAAAACTTTTTTGGATATTTTAAAAACGGTATGAACTGATACAGAAGGCTTTATAGCTCAGTTATAAGTTACCCTCAGATAAACAGTTTCTATGGATTCAGAGAGGCCAAATCAACTGATGATGTCATAGCAGATCTATTTGCAAAAATGCATGAATCCGTTAATAAGTGAAAAGCTGCTATATGCGTCTTCCTTTATCTGGCCGGAACATTTTGTATAGTGCTCGTGTTGAAATTCGTGTTCAATTGACAGCTACTAAAAATGTAAGAGTCATTGGATTCAGAATGGCGTGTAGAAATAACGGGATTTTGATAAGTTTACAGCACACAAAAATTATATTTGTTTTTGACAAATTAAAATATAAAAATAAGGCATTTAGTTTTTCATTATTAACTATTATACAATAAAAGAGTACCAGAACTTCCGAAACTCTACTTCCATTAGTTATAATTTCAATTCCGAAGCCGGAAATACTATAGTTGTCTGTTTGTTTAACAAGTGATATATCAACAAATGATGTGAAAAATAGTACGTAACGTAAATAGCTGCATTTATTATTTGCAAATGCAGTTATTTCAGGTATTGAAATATTTTTCAACTTTGTATGATTATAATGAGCAAGTTATATATTTTCCATAAACTGTTTCATAATAGACTGTTTCATATATAAAGGTCTCTCGCACTTTTATCCTATCATCAGTGCGGTGCAGCTAAGTGTAAAATATGGTCGACACGACACACAATTTTTGTTTGATACTCGTACTGGATTAATGATATCATACTAAGAGTTCATCGAACAGAAACAATTCAGAAATACTTATAATTGTTGAGAAATTTTCAATTCAATATTTTCTATTCTAGCTCATTTCCATTTTTTACAAATTTTTTTTGACAGTCATTGTCAGATGGATACAATAATGCCAATTGCTCACAGCTCCAGAAGTAATCGAATTCGTATATTTTGAAGAAACAGCACAATCTGACAGTAATATTCTTTTTTTTAAGGTCGCCCGCCAGAGGAATATTGTCGACTTCAAATGGAGTCTCCCAAAATGTTCTGGTCACATAAACTCAGTTCTCCAGATGAAAGAGTTCGAAGTGTACTGAGTTGAACCTCAAAACGATGAGCAGCCAAATCCGTCGCGTATTTCTGATATGTACCGCTCTTGGTGAAATCAAACGTGCCAAGTGACTTGAACACTTCTTGTGAAAGTATCTATAGCAAAGAGACAAATTTTCAACCTTTCTTCGATGTTCCAGGCTATTAAGGTTGCACGTGATGTTCGCGTCTCCAATCTGGATGGAATCTGGCAACTTCAGGGTATGTTTGGGGGGCAGAACTCCATACATGAGAACAATACTTCAAAAAACGTCTGATCTGAGCTTTATAAAGCATCAAAAGTTGCTGAGGTGTGTACAGTTATCTGGTTCGGAAAAAAGTTCCAAGCTTTTGAGAAGCAGCCTTTGCAATTCCAGCGACATGATTGTGTCAAGACATATTGATGTCCATTTTAACCCTCACAAACTTATCGAAGCAGACAGCGGAATTGTCTGACCTGACATTATTATATTCGATTCGGAGACATTTATCTTCATGGAAAAAACCGATGGCTGGGTTTTTGTGGCATTGAATTGAACCTGGTTACTTTCACCCCAATTTGAAATCACTTCTATGACCTCTATTGCTGCATGTTTAATAATTACCCTGTAAAATTGCCATCATTAATGTGAATTAGTGAGTAACGCTTATATAAAAAAAACAAACGTTAACAAAAGTTTGTTTGAAGTAATTCAGTGGCCGTCTCAGTCGAATTTTATTCCAAATATTCATTTAATTTCAAATCATCCAGTTTCTGTTCGAGTAGAATCGTAAATGAGATGCTTTTCCATTGTTTGGAGCTTCATCAACAAAATGGAGTTGTCATTTCCTAATTGAAGATGGACTGATCCTTACTCAGACGCAGATTGAATATTAACGGTAAAGTTTGATAAAACTAATTTCATTAATCAAGACACTGAGTTATCTCAGTTTGATCTGTCCGATATTGATGAGGTGCAGGCTATTTCTGCTGCTGGACCAATAAATCAGTTTTTTTCTGGCTGGTATTTGACATATAGGAAAAATTTCAATTTATTTTGCTATCAAAGACAATGTAACGACAATGTGATGAAAATCTATAACGTATTTAAATAACACTTCACTACATGACGAGTCACAAGGGCAATGAGGAGGCCGATGTTCTAGCTCGTGAAGGCGTATCCAAGGCTATGAGTGGCCCAGAATCCTTCTGCGATGTAGCTAAAGCATGTATAAAAACATCCATAAATTCATGGATGCAAGCCGAATCGACAGATTGGTGGAATAAGCTCCCAGGAATGACGCTGGCGAAAGAGTTCATATAGAAACCATCGCCCAGATTCACGGAAGATCTGCTAAACCACAACCGTAAAGTTGTAAGGATAGTGGTGGGTCTACTAACGAGGCATAGCCGACTTAGAAAACCTGAGTAACACGGGTCTGACAGAAGAAACCCAATGCAGATTATGTCAAGAAGAGGAAGAAACCGCACTGCATGTGCTCTGTGAATGCGAAGCGATAGCAAGGCTGAGACACGCAAGATGCGGGAAAGAGAAATCAGAGGTTGCCACACGTCAACCAATTGAAGAATAAAATCTCAGGGTGCTATGCAATGAGAATTATTTCAAAGGAACTTGGTACTGCAACGGCTAAGAACGCATACTATGCATTAATTGAATCTCAACTGAGATATGCCATTCCTTTCTGGGGGGGGGTATGTAACTGCTAGATTCAGTACTTAAACTGCAAAAGATAGCCATTAGATTCAAACTAGGACCGCGCAATTCATGTAGGCAGTTATTTGCAGAAAAAAATATATTGACAGTTGTGGTTCTCTTTGTTATGGAAACTGCGTGTCTTATACACAAACATAGGTCAAAATTTGAATATAGTTCTTCGTGTCATAGCACTCGTCTCAAATCTAAAAATAATGTTAAATTACCATTGCCTTCTTCATCCCTAGTAAAGGACTCCATTTTCTATAACGGTGTTATAGAAGTCTCATTTTAGAAGTAGCCACGATAGTATTGACAGCTTTAGAAAATACACAAAAAACTTCTCTCGAGCAGACCCTATTATAGTTTGCAAGAATTTTACAATGACAACTTCCAGTGAAATTGTGAACTGTCATCTGTAATTTATTGCGGGTACTGTATAGTATACTCGATTAGACTGTTAAATTATGGGTCGTAAAATTGACAAAATGTTGAAATAACATTTTATGATTGATATTTTATTTATTCATTAACACTTATTCTATTGAATAAAATGTATAATTGATAAATGTATATGTTTATATACTGCTTGTTTATATAACAATTTTATTTTATTTATATATTACATAATTGTGTGTATTTGACCTAAATTTTATTTCTGTACGTGTATATTCTACTTTGTCAACAAGACAAGAGTTTTTTCGACAATAAAGTATATTTTGATTGATTGATTTGATTTGAAGGGGTCAGTTTCAAGGCTATGGAGTCTCATCACAGAGATCAAGCTAGACAATGAGAATAACCAAGAAGCATCACAATAGATCTGAAAAGGTCGCAGTGAATCAGGCCAAGGGCTAGCTCCCCGACAATCTAATCTAATCTAACACTTCAGTAAACAAATTGCAAAATCGCAACACGTGTTTCACTGCACAATAGATTTTTCAGGCGTGTTCATACGGTGTTACTTGAATAAATTGCTGTCCATTCAGTTGAGAAGATCTTGAAAAACCGTGTGATTTCTATTCTCATCTATTCGTTTATAAAAATTTCATTAACAAACAGAATGAAATGATTATCATCCAAAAATGTGCTCAATTAAGAACGGAATCAAAATAATATGAAAAATTCAATAGTTTATTACCGAATTACCAAGGAACTCAAAATTATTCCATGGTGATTATTGTGCCTGGTCCAAACAGAGGAACAAATAGAACACATGATTTTCGAAAAAAAAAAGATAGTAAACATTTTATCTTGTATTACTTTGAAACATAATACACAAGAAACATGGGGAAAGAAAACATCAAACTTTTAACAAAAAGAAAATTTCGACACTGACAATTGAAATACTGATTTTTGATGATTATTGTATTGAGAGAAAGTATTTTTCATTCAGTATCGTTGATATTGAATGAAAAAGGATATACTTTCATAAAAAATGTTCAAATATTAATGTCGTTTACCAAAAGCCAAAAGATTCGCATGAATTTTTAATAGTTCAAGAGTTAATTAAAATTCTTAAACCACTAAAACTCACAACAAACTTCAAAAGAATTCAGTGGAACAAAAGAAATTCGTTTAAACTGCGATAAACACGGCCCGCTTCGCGCTTTGTTGAAAACCCCAGAATTTTCGTGCAAAGAACAAAGGACGGCGCAGAAGGCATTAGAATAACAATAAAAAGAAGAAACGGTGATCGGAGATGCAGATCTGAAGTGCGCCTCGGTCGGGCCAGAGAGTCACTAGGTCAGCTCATCGAGATGTTCCTTTGTTCCATCAGTGGAGAGAGAGTTCAGAGTAAAACATTAACCTCTCGCGTGCTGTGGAGGAGGAAAATAAAACGTCGTGAAGACGGTACCACAAGCTTGTTATACTGTTCTGTACCGGATGGCATGTACGAGTATTATCAGATTTCCTAGAACGATGATTCAGAGTTCACGCCGCCAATCAAGGAATCAGTAGCTATTAACTCTGAAGAAATGACAATTTTCAACTCTAATTTCGCTACTATATAATTTCTACATTGTAGTTACTATGCTTTGTATTACTTATTGCTGTCTTTCTTGCAAATGTCTTTCCTTATTTGCAATGTGTTTTGCTATTTCTGATAGTATATTGAATATGCCGTCCCACTTTTTTTTAATTTTTATCTGTATTTTCGTTTCCCATATCCATTTCTCTGGTTTGGTATCAGTCATCTTCTGTAAGTGTCCCCACCAACTCAGATAACGTATTTCAATCAAATCTGTACTTAATTTCTTCATCTTCCCTACTTAAGAAATCTGTTTTTTTTTTCGTGACATTTTAAGATACTTCATTTCCACAGCCTGTATTTTCTTTTTTGCCCGTATTTGTATCCAAGCCAAATATCACAGCTGATCTCTATGCAGGTTTGAGTGGGTACGATTTTTTTTATTTTTAGGAATTCCGTTTTTATTTAATTCCACATTGCATACTAGGTGAAGTTCTACTATTTTCCTTATTCTCTTATAGATTTGTCTTCCTTGTATTCCATGATTTCCTGCTGAAAATTATTTAACAGTCGCTTAAGAATTCGAATCATCTGCAAAATTTGTAAAATTTCAACCGATAACCAACCAAAATGTATGAACCAATTACAAAAATGAAATTGTTACACAGTAAATAGGTACATAATGTACCTGTCAGGGTTTGAATTTCCATGTGATATTTCACTTGAAGATTGACAGATTATAAATATAAGGAAATAAATTTCAAAATATTAATTCCTCCCAACTACCTACACCGTAGGGCTAATATCCAGCGTGGTATTAGCCGGGGAATCAGTTTGTTTTTCGAAGTTTACCACACCCTACTGTGTAGGTAGTTGGGGGAGATTAATATTTCGAAATATTAATTTCCTCATACGTATGTATCTCTCCTCGACAGTTTTCACTTTAGATTTCTGTCAGACTATAAATAATTTTCCTCAATCTAGATAAACTTGCGGTCCAACACCAAACTGCGCTGTTTCGGCGCACCAGGTCTCATCTGTGGTGCTAGGCTGAACCACAGAACTATATTTAAAAAAACAATCCTCAAAGTAACAGCAATGACATCTTCCCCTACGAAGATGCCATCTATGGGATCGACAAAAGTTTCAATTCCTCAATCGAGTGAGGAAAATCGTACCTGTGGACTATCTTTTAGGGTATCCTCTACAAAAGACCTAATGTCATACTGAAGAGATTCCTACCTTAATGTCCACAGCAACTTTTTCATATGGGGGCATCTATAATTGACACAGGC